ACCACAAAGAGACACAAAACCACCACAAAGAGACACAAAATGACCATAAACAGACAAAAAATGACCACAAACAGACACACAATGACCACAAAGAGCCACAAAAACACCACAAAGAGACACAAAACGACCACAAAGAGACACAAAATACCATAAACAGACAAAGAATGACCACAAAGAGACACAAAATGACAACGAAGAGACACTGTTTTAAATTTTTTTGTGTCTCTTTGTGGTTGTTTTGTGTCTCTTTGCAGCTGTGTTGGTTGTATTCGTGGTAGTTTTGGGTTCTTTGTGGTGGTTTTGTGTCTGCTTATAGTGGTTTTGTGTCTTTTTGTGATTGTTTTCCTTCATTTGTGGTGGTTTTGTGTCTTTTTGTGATGGTTTTCCTTCACTTGTGGTGGTTTGTGTCTCTCTGGGGTCATTGTGTGTAACTTTCTGTTGGTCTTGTGCCTTTTCGTAGTCGTTTCTTTTGTGCTAGTTTTGTGTTGTTTTGTGTCTGTTTAGCTTAGTTTGTGTCTTTGTGGTGGACTTTTACCTCTTTGTGGTCATTTCATCGGTCTTTGTGTTAGTTTTGGTTGTATTTGTGACAGTTTTGTGTCTTTTGTGCTTATTTTGTGTGATCATGTTGCATCTCTTTGTTGTGGTTTTGTGTCCCTTGGTAGTGGTTTGTGCCATTTTGTTGTTGTTTTGTCTCTGTGTGTTGGTTTTTTGTGTCTTTGTGGTGATTTTGTGTGTCTTTGGAGCTGCTTTGGTTGTATTTGTTTGTGTTCTCATGTCTCTTTGTGGCCATTTTACATGCCTTTGTGGTCGTTTTTTGGACATTGTTGGTATTTTTTTGTGTCTTTGTGGTAGTTTTGTGTCTTTTTTTGCATCTCTTTGTAGCTATTTTGCATGTCTTTGTGGAGATTTTGTTTCCATTTTTGGGGTTTTTGGTCTGTTAGTGTTGGTTTTGTGTGTCTTTGTGACAGTTTTGTGTCTTTTGTGTGCTTTGTTTGTGTCTCTTTGTGGCCATTTTGCATCCATTTTGTGTGGTTTCTCATCCCTTAGAGGTCCCTTTCTGCCTCTGAGGTCTTTTTGCTTCTTTGTTGTGGTCCAGTTGTGTGTCTCTTTGTGCCCATGTCCTGTATCTTCGTCTGTAACAAAAGCCGACCAACAACATAAGAGCAGATGTACAGACTTCCTCCTTGGTCGCCGAGCGCCGGCTGCCTTATATAAGCACATGTGAGCTGCTGCGGGGCAGATTTGGTGAGTTTCTTCCCGTCTCTCGCTGCTTTTTTTCTGTACAGCTATCTGCTCCCTCGGGGTCGAGCTCAGTTCAATATTGTAAGAGATCTACTCATAAATAATTCACAAATACTGACTGGCCGCTTCACATGAAACGCTGCCTTCTCTTGTTCGCTTCGCTTCTTCTGCAGCGCTGCCAAACTCCCCTGTTGATCTCTGCTTTTATTCTCTCACCATCGCTTTCTTCATTTCTACACAAAAACCTCCTGCAGCTCCGGCGTTAAGCTCCGTCTGTCTCTGAGCTCCAGCGCCACGGAGCTGGACGTCCACTTGTGTCAGGGCCGGCTGCACCAGCATCCTCGATGGTGATAAAACAACGCAACACCAAATATACATCTGTGTCTCTTTGTGGTGGTTTTGTGTATTGTTGTTGTCATTTTGTGTCTGTGGTGGTTTTATGTCTCATTTTGGTTGTTTAGTGTTTATTTGCGGTAGTGCTATCTATTTTTGTTGTCATTTTGTGTCTCTTTGTG